TAATAATAATAATAATAATAATAATAATAATAATAATAATAATAATAGATAAATGAGAGAGATGAATGAAAAGAGAAAGAAAAAATAAGATAGACAAGAAAAAAAGACAGAGAATAGAAGATGGGGATAAAGAAAAGAAGACAAAGAAAAAGAGAATCAAGAAAGACAAGAGAAAAAAAATGAGATAAAAGAGAGTGAAAAAGAAGAGAAGAGAGAAACAAGAAAAGTGGGAGAGAAGATTTAGATAATAAAAAAATGATGAACATACTTGATTAAAACAAACTCGTAAATCAAGCAAATTCGAATTATTTTTTTCAAGAGAACAAGAATGAAAATTGAAATTTTTTTAATAAGCAAAATAGAGTTTATATATATATATATTGATTTGAATTAGTGAAACAAAATATTAAATAATTTTTAAATTTTTTAAAGATTTGCAGACTTGATCTATGCATTAAACTTTAAATTTAACGATTGGATCGTTAAAATTTGATGTAGAACATGAGTTATTGAACGAAGTAAGTCTAAATAAATTTAATCTTAGAGTAAACGAATCCTTCGTCATATATATATATATATATATATATATATATATATATATATAAAAGATAACAAGGAGTGTTTTCCTAAGCATATATAAAAGATAATCAACTAACCTATGAAACTTGCCTATTTTTTTATTGCATATATAGAAGATAATCAACTAACCTACGAAACTTGCATATTTTTTAATTACATTATATATGGTTAAGAAAACTAAAATTGTTTTGTGATTGTCGCGACATTACATACAAATTTAACAGTATCAGTTATATATATATATATATATATATTTTGGAGGGGTTTAGAATTTACTTCTGCTCAAATGATAGACAAGACTTTTTGAAAGCAATATAAACCAAAATTGGAGACTTTAGGTCATATATTTGTGGCAGATTAGGCTGCTTTATTATATGGCGATTTAGTAATGTCTAGTCATGCAACTGGAAAAGAAAAGTTATTGGCTTATATATGCCTGATGCACTGAATATGAGTTGCTTTATCATTTCAAATTCTGAAGAAAAAAAGGGGGTGACATTACTGAAAAATCCCCCAGTTTCTATCAAAATGCTTTTAAGTCCCATAACACAATTAGTGAAAGAATAGCAAAACCACGTGAAATGGCCCCCACGATCTTCTCTCTTGTCTCCAATTAATTGCTGAAATTTCAGCCTTAGTAGGACCCCTATATGCTACACTCTTTTATTCCTCCACCTTTCCATTAACAATGTCTCTTGCTTCAACCTGTGCTTAGAATGAATTCTCATCGGGGCACCACCAACACCAAGGATATGAGATTTCACTTTTTTTTATATTCATCACATGTATTCTTCGTTAGAGATAATCTTTTAAGTTGGGCTACCAAGTTCTTATAGTTAACATAACTATATATTTAGGTTTCAAAATTGAAATTATTCATCAAATGATTACAACTGTTTACCGGTTGATTCACGCGTGTAGATAAATTCCATTTGTTTGATCAATGATTGAAACAAAAGCACACAATGGGGTATGAAGAAAGCAAAAGGTTTAAGGTCAATGTGTAAGTTTCAACTGATGTCTTGTATAGTCTCCTTAATTTTCGTTTTTAAGTTGAAAAGAGAAAAGGGAAGATTCAGACTGACATCTCGCAGTGGTTTGTCTACAAGAAAGATTATCTACGTCAGAAGAATGTCCCTCCCATTATGCATCATTTATGGCAAAAAAAAAAAAAAAAAACCTGTCTCCAGGCCATAAAAGAAAGTGTAAGCTATATATAGATGGAAGCTGGTTATGGTGCGGTAAGGTAATCAGAAATGCTGAAGCTGAAGCAGTGACCCCACATTGGTTTAGTTTTTTAGCTGAAGGCTCAAACAGATTGCATACTACATGTTTACTATGTACCTTTCTTTGTTTTGGACATGTTATGTTTCAAGGCATTATGAATTCCCTCGAGTTTTCGTCTAAAAAGGCTAGATACTAGCATAGCATACTTGATTAAAAGTTTAGATCAACTAAATCTCTGTAGATTTTTATGATGAATTCCAAGATCAAGGGTAAAATAAAAAAACCTCACCCAGGTGTTTGTTAATAATTAAAAATCAAACTTTGAATTTGTTTTGAATCATTATAATTTTATGTCTTTGAAAATGCATTTTAATAGTAGAAAAGAAAAATATTTATAAATTATCGTTCATCTCGACTATTAAATGAAATGAAACTTTTAACCTATATACATTATCAAGTCAAACAAAAGAGTACCAACGATTTACATCAAGACTAGCCTATTTGCGGATAATTTAGGGATCAAGATCTCCTCGCAGATCATTTTTGAACCGCATGAATCTTAGCCATTAGTTGATATTTTTAATTAATAAAATATTGATAAAAAAAAGTATAATTAAAGGGGAATCTATGGTGAAAAATGTAACAGCATCCCGTGCAATTATTTTCCAACTGTAGGAGATCCAATACCATAGTTTAGGATTCTTTTCTTCTGAATTCAAAGTTTGAGTGTTTTTTAATGGATGTTCAGAACGAACGTAACAAGAACCTTTTTTGTACAAACATACTGAAGGTCGATATGAGAACTAATATAAGAAATTGGCCAAAACTTCCTGTTTATTGGACCTCAGTGCTGGAGTTTTTACTCTCCACCCCAGTCTCCAACAGAAAAGTCCATATTAAATGAAAGCCTTAATAAAAGCCCATATATCAAATGTAGAGCAAAAGAGGCCCAACAAGAGCAGGATTTATCAGTAGAGAAGAGAATTATGACTTTAGAAAGAGCATGGATTCATGAAAATGCATGCACCACCAAATTATCATTATTTATATGGATCTATACCAGACTAACCAATGTAATTTTGAAGTTTAATCTGATCCAATCCAATTGATATTTGGGTCGGGAAAAATATTTGTATGTTTAACCTAATCCAAGTCAACTTTTTAAAAAATACTGTATAGTAATTTTTATAACTATAAATAAATATAAATGAACTTCTACATTTTTTAAAATCTTTAAAAATGATTATTAAATTATTTTTAATATGTAATAAAATGGTAAAAAAAAATTGGTTTCATATTAAAATATATATAACAAAATGAAGCAGAGCAAACTACATATTTCAAACGCATTTCGTCATCCAGATTCCAGAGTGATGGAATACCTAATCTAAGGAAATCAAGATCCAAGATTTCGTCTTTGTAAGATGTGCCAATATTAAAATGTAATCTGTCTCCTAATCATTTTTTATTAGGAGAAATGGTAGTAGCTTACCTGACGCCTCACGGTGCATAACAGCTGGGAAATAGAGCCATGCACATTAATCACTAACCAAGGGAAACAAATACTAATTATTCAATTAAAAAACCTTATTAAGAATATATTGAAAATAAATAATGATAATTTGGTGCTGCATATACAACTCATTATCAATTTTTTTTTTTTCTGTCTTTTTTTTATCACATTATATTACCTGTTGTACTTATTATTATTTTTATTTCTCTTTCTTTCATATATATGTTAGATAAATTATTTCACTGATATATTTTTTTGAAATAATATTCTTTTAAACTTTAAAAGTATTTTTTAATTTTTTTTAGAGATTTACTTATAAGAAACTTTTTTTAATGAAATTTTCTTCATAGGTACTAACTAAAATTGGAACCCTTAATCAAATAATTAAGAAACCTAAGTTCAGTAGTTTCTTAATTTGTCCTCCGAATACTGAATAGCGTGTATTGTCCGTAAAGAGAAGTCGAAATTTCGTCCGAATAGTTAAAAATTATTATTTTTTAATAAATTTATTATTAAATAATTATTTTATAATAAATTTATTAAAAAATAATAATTTTTTAATTATTCAAACAAAATTTCCACTTCCGTCTCGGACACCGTAACAGTGCTCTACTGAATACTGAATAGCATTTACTCTTATAGCGGGAAGATGATTTAGTAGGAAATTGTGAAAAAAAAAAGAGCAATTATTAAAAATTTAAATGAATTTGTGAGGAATTATATTAATTTAATTTCACTATCTCATAAGTGAGTTTGTGTAAATTTTTTCATCAAAAATACTTTAACAAAATTACTCCTACACTAATATCTAAATAATTAATTAAGAAAGAGTAAAAATATAATTATTTAAATAATATATTTTTACATAAAAATCTTATATAAAATAGAATTTTAAAATGTAATTTTTTTTTCTAATTTAATTTTATTAAACAATTAAAAATTCAACATTATTTCTTATATATTTTCTATCTAATTAATTTACCTATCGTTTCAATTTTTTTTCTATTCTTCCCCATGTTCAAATGAAACATTAATTAATTAGCATTATTACTTTAGTTATCATCTGTTGAAAGCTGAAACTTCCATAGTTAGTTCCACAGATTCTAATCAATACGCACTCAGAGCAGATATCTTCTACAAATAAAATAACCAGTTAACTACTATCGGCATCTTCAGAGGAGTTCAGTATATTGCACAATCGTAGAAGGGTTCAATTCAAGCTATCTAGCACAACGCTTCCTAGAGTTTGAGGCGAGGGAGATGTTCAATTGCAAGTACTCATCAGCAAACATTCCCAAAGGTGCGTTCCTATTACCCCTCACTCTGTTTCTCATAGTTCTACTCCTTCCTTTCCTCAGAAACTTAATTCAACCATCTTCAAAGCCTTCCCTCGCCACCAACTTGGAAACCAAAGAAACAAGCAAATGCAACATATTTTCCGGAAGTTGGGTTCCTTATACAAAAGAACCTTACTACAACAATGAAACTTGCCCTTTCATATTAGACCAGCTTAATTGCTTAAAATCTGGCAGACCCGACAGAGAGTTCCTCAAATTGAGGTGGAAACCTCATGATTGTGAGCTTCCACTATTTAATGCAACTCAGTTTCTCAAGCTTGTTCAAGGAAAATCAATGGCCTTTGTTGGAGACTCCATGGGCAGAAATCAAGTAGAGTCCTTACTGTGCCTCATAAATACTGTAAGTAATTAATCATTAATCATAACTTAATTATACCCTTTTACTTTAATTCCATCCTTTAAATTACAGTTACTATATTCTTTTCCATTTTATTATGAATGTTAAATTACTTGGCATTTTTGATCTAGTTTCATTATATGTGACAGTTTCTTCATTTAACTCCATCAGGTGGCACATCCAGAGGATATCACAGCAAGACATACATCAAACGATGACATATTTTTCAGATGGTGGTTCGTGCCAGAATACAATTTCACCGTTACAACACTGTGGTCACCCTTTTTGGTAAAATTCAACGACTCCGATCCCAGTGGTCGTGCTTACTACAGTGCGACGAAGCTTTACCTAGACGAGGCAGACACAGCGTGGAGCAGCAAAATAGAAAATTTCGACTACGTGGTTTTCTCAACGGGACAGTGGTTTTTCCGACCACTAACGTTCTACGAAGAGGGGAAAGTTGTGGGGTGTCAAAAGTGCGAGAACTCGACGGAGCTGAACTACTACGGATACAGAAGAGCGTTCCGAACGGCTTTCAGAACTATGAGAGATATGAAAGGGTTTAAGGGGTTGGCGTTTCTGGTGAGTCACTCTCCGGAGCACTTTGAGAACGGGGCGTGGAACGAGGGTGGGAGTTGCAACAGAACGATGCCGCTTAGTGTGGAAGAGAGAGGGGCGTATAAAGATAGGGATATTGTGGAGGCCTTGTATGAGATACAAATGGAGGAGTTTAAGGAAGCGAGAGAGAAGGGTTTGCGGTTAGGGTTGATAGATATAACTGATGCCATGGCGGTTAGGGCTGATGGACACCCCAGTAGGTTTAGGCGTGCGGGAGACAAGAATTTGAAGGTCAGTGACTGTGTTCACTGGTGCTTGCCCGGTCCTGTTGATACGTGGAATGAGTTTTTCATCCATGTCATCAAATTCCAAGGTCAAAACCATAATAAGGGTACCATGTTGTGATATCATCTGGGTTTTCAGTTCTTTCTTTCTTTTTGGGGTGAATTCAAGTTTTCATTTTTGATTTCAAAACCCCTAATTGTTAATTATTGGGGATGGTGATTTCAATAGGATCAGGTTTCATAAGAGGTTAAAATGGGTCAAATCAAGGTTGCGTAGGATTTCTAACAAGTCTAATTGTCAATTTGTCATGTTGGTGTCACTAAAGATTGAATTTAAAGTAATTAAAATCAAAATTAAAAAAATCTTGTTATATACAGTGATCTAAATTATTTATGAGTTGATGATAGTGTGATTTTTTTATTTGCATTATGTGTATATTTTAGGTTTTTCAGCAATGCCAATTGAATTTGGTTAAGTCTAGCTAGGATGGTTTAATTTAATCATTTCTTCGACTTTTGGTTGGCTGAATATATTATCAAACTTTAATAAGTTGTGTGTGACAAACAACCAAATCAACTCAACTGCTCCATAGATCGCTTCTCCTGAACTGTGTCTAATGCTGCATGTATTAGTGAAACCAATTGTTACCAAAGATAAAAGTTGGTATAGATTAAAAAGAAAATAGTCAATTAAGCACAGAAAATTCAAATACAGCCAAGACCCTCGATATGCTTCATCTATCACGTGCTAAAGTATTTTTTATCTGTCACTATAATTAGATCACTGAGTCAGTTCTTGAACAGTTCAAAACAGACTGCATTCCAATTACCAAGAAATAAGAACCGACACTATGATTGCCACTATAAACAGTTCTACAGCTGATTAATAATAAGTGTTTGTTTAATATAATTTTTTTTATATATTTCATATAATAAAAAATTTATGAAGGAGTTTAAAATGATTTATAAATATTTTAATAAATTAATTTGTTATAGTTTTTTTTTTACCAATTATAAAGGTGAAATTAAAAGAATTGGGAAGGAAGAGATAAAAAAATACATAATCTTTAAAAAAAAAATATATATATATATATAGTTATATTAATTAGTGAATTTTTCATGCAATATATGATTCTTTTTAATTTATATGCAATTTTGACAAAAATTAACTTTGCTAAATAATAATCACTATTTTTATATTAAAAAAATTAAGATAAAATGTGTTTTTAATTTTTAAAATTTAGGCTAATTTTTTTTTCAAATTTAATATTATTATTTTTTAGTTTTTTTAATTTGAAAAAATCTTGTTATATTTTTTCATGTTATTAATAACATATTTGAAAGAAACATATTGAGACAATTATATAATCTCACTTAATTTAATGTGATATTTTTATTAATACTAGTAAGTAAATTTTATATAATATTATTAGATTTTTTAATAAAATTTGAATATAAAAATTGAAATAATTTTTTTAAAAATCTAAAAATTATAAATAATACTTTTAAATTTAAGAGACTAAAAAAATATTCTAAATTTGAAAGAGTAAAAATATATTTAAATCCAAAATTTATAATAAATATACATTTAAAAAAAATGAAAAACATTATAAATAAAATTTAAAGATAACTGCAAGAGAGAGGATATTATGAGTAGAGAGTTAGAATTTAAATCTTTAAATTGTAAATTATAAATTTATAATCTCCTAATATTTTAGTACGTGTATTTTAAATGTTAAAATAATATCATAGAAAAGTAAAATATAATAAGAAATTTTCATTGTTAAAAAATATAACTTTATTCTAACTATATAAAAGAAAAATATTAAAAGAAATTAATAGTAAACTATAAATATAATTTAATATAAAATAATTATCAATTAGTTGTGATATATACGTCAAAACTGGAATTTATAGTCCTAGAAAAACTTGAATTTGTATAATTTAAATCTATAATTATATTTAATATTTTAATACAAATAATAAGATAAAGCGGGATAAATTAAATTTAAATAAGAGTTTACGTTTTATGCATAGTGAATGTAAATATTTTTATATTATTAATTCATTTAAATTACGTTATTTATAATTTTTAATAGTTATTATGAAAAGAACAAATTTATTATACATAATATTATTGGAATATAATATAAAAATGAATAAATAAGTAATTTATGTATAATATATATGTATATAGATTTAAATTTTTTATTAAAAATAAAGTTATTTATTAATTATGTAACATTTTGTTAATAAGATATAATACAAGTAATATTTTAATATAAACAGTATTGTCTTATTAAAGAATGGATTTGAGAAAATAAAATAAAAAATGAGATGTGAAGAAAGTCACGTAACCCATAGAAAGAAAGTAAATTAAAAGAAAATTTCCAATATATTTTAGAAGAGAGAGGAATGTTGATGAGAATAAATTAACTCATAAAATCTAATAATATAAATCAAACAAGTTAAATTGATTGATGTTAGAAGAATAAGTTGAAATATAACGGGAGAGAATATAAGATTACTCCTCTGCTAATCCAGATTCAAAGTGTAACACGCTCCAAATTTTATTAATAATAAATATATTACTGTTTTAATTTTTAAGTGTTATTTGTGGCAGTTGAAGCTTCCTGAGTTCCATAGATATAGCAGCATTGCTTAGGTTAGGAGTTAGGACACTGAGGACAGAAACCTGAACTAATAACAACCTGAACATGTTCAATTGCCAGTACCCACCCAGAAACTTTCCCAAAGGCGTGTTCCTGTTGCCACTCACTCTTATTGTTATCGTGCTACTCCTTCCTCTCATCATAAACTTAAATCAATCATCTTTTAAGATATTTGCCACCAGCTTGGAAACCAAAGAACATGACAGAGCTAAACCTCTACGGATACAGAAGGGCATTCCAAACGGCTTTTAGAAAAGTGAGAGCTTTGAACGGGTTCAAGGGGTTGACTTTTTTGGTGACTTACTCTACGGAACACTTTGATTATGGATTGTGGAATGAGGGTGGGACCTGAAACAGAACCAAGCTCTTTAGTGTGGAATAAAGTGGGGTGTATAAAAATGAGGATATTCTGGAGACATTGCATGAGACACCCCAATATATATGGGAAAGTTGTTGATAAAAATATGACGGTCAACGATTGTGTTCACTGGTGCATGCCTGGTCCTGTTGACACTTGGAATGAGTTTTTGCTGTGTCATGAAACTAGAAGGTGAAAATGGTAACGCAGTGTCATCTTGATGAATAATCATTCGACATTGCTCTGGATTGTCGTGAAGAGACTATGATTCCACATTTATTTTTGCTTTTTCATGTAACGCATATTAGTGTTCAATATAATTGGCAGGGCTTTGGACTGTATATAGTATATACCATAGTCTTAGGATTGTTGTGGGTCGTGGATTTAGAAGAATCATGGTAGAATCAGATTCAAAGGTTCACATTCATTTATTGGAGACGGGGTGCCATAGCCTTCACCTTCTGCTGGTGTCGTATAGGAGCTATATCATACTGTGATCCACAGGTGATCCAAGTAATCATAATTGTTAGATACATCATTTATAATAACTTTGTTCAATTTCTAAACCACTCACAAAATTCTAGTTAAATTTTCAAGTCACCATGCAGCTAGTCATTACCACCTCTTTCAATTGCATGCTGATGCAAGTACTTAAAGTCAAATTGTGAAGTAAATTTGTGGTCTCCATTAACAAATTTATGCGAACATTTTCGATACCGTGACTGTGAGTGAAAAATAGGGGGTTATAGTTGGAGTGACTACTGGTGTTTGGCAGGAAGCAGAGGCTAAGTCTTGCTTTTCCCTCATCAATCTCACCCCTTCCTTTTTCAGACTAATTTCACAAGTCTTCTATGTTATAGGGTCTAGAATGACATTTTATTTGCGTTTCCATGCCAATGGAACCTCCACCATGACATTTAATGTGTCTTATTTTCTTTAGGTGCATTGTTTTCCATTAGTGTTTAGTATTGTGAGTATGTGAAACCAATTTGATTGAGGAACTGATGTTTCAAAAATATATTTGACGATTTTATCATTCTGACCAAATAAACAGACTTTTTGTCTTTTGGGGAAAAAAAATGACATTTTACTCTAATTTTATTGAATGCTTGAGAACTTGGTAAACATATCTATTAATCATTGATATCCACTACATTGGATAAATCTGGGTTTTCAATAACGTCCTCGCTTACAACACAATTAAATTGTTTTTCAAGTGCAGAATTATCTTGTCCTGAGACTATTGTAGTAGAAACTTGTTCGTCAATCTCTTCAGCAGAAGGTAAAGAAGATGATCTCTAATACGGGGTGAATTAGGCATATCACTAGGCACAAAATCAACGTGCATGCGAGTGTGCCCCTTTCGTGAAATTACTTCAGTTGTTCATCCTTCTACATTGAGTGTAAACCCACATACGCATGACTTGTGTAAGAAAATAAACACACGCTTACAAAAAAGAAGTAATTTTTTTCACATGTAATATGATTTTGAGGGATGAGAACGCAAGTAAGAAATTTTTTCTCAGACCAAATTACCATGCCCATTTTAACCCACATAGCAAATTACCATGCCCATTTTAACACATTCAAAGCAACTCAAATAGATTTTTATTTTGTTCCGGTAATATAATTGACCGAATTAAGTAAAACCCAGAAATGTCTGCGACACGAGCAAATTCAGGTGACGAGTTCTCCTTGTCCATGCGTTAGAAGATACTACTGTGAAAGATTCGTCCGTGTCTTCAAATATGTTCTCATCTATAGGAACATGGTACCACTTAATCCATAACTTAGAAATTTTCAAAAACTTTAAAATAAATATTAAAGAATTGTGTGTCACCGAATATTCATGTGCCAAAGCAGGTTATACAAAATGGTCCAGGATCCGGAAGAAACCTCTTACCTTTAAACCATAAATATTAATCTTCCTGAAACTATCCAAAATCTTGCCTATTGGAATTTGTTAAAAATGCTGCAAATTTCTAAAGTAATCTAGAAATTTGTAGACATGTTCAAAAAAAAAAAAACACCTAGAAGCTAACCTCCGATACTGTAAAATACTATATAATTCCAGAACCAAATGTCGAGAATAAAGTAAAAAAAAAAAAATATAAACCAACATTCCTAAAGTCGGTGGAGCTTGACTATACATAGGCATTACAACACTGTGTAATGTGCTTGAGAAAAACAGAGGAATACTACCTTACTGATTACAGATATTGTGTACCTCCAGAATATAATTCAAACTACCATTGTCTCATATTCTCTTCCAAAAAAAAGTTTGTGCTCTTAAATTTTCTGTTATATGATCTATCAATGCTACTAGTGCTATGTTTGTTCATTTGTTAGGTGTAAATAAATTTCTCAACT